GTGCTCCAGTCCCCTGATCATCTTTGTGGCCCTCCTCTGGACCCTCTCCAACAGTTCTCTGTCTTTTTTGTGTAGGGGGGCCCAGACCTGGACACTCGAGATGGGGCCTCACAAGGGCAGAGTAGAGAGGGAGGCAATGTGTATGTTCTGCCTCTTGTGAGAGGACTTAGGTATTAATGATGCAGCAGAAAGGAATCATAGACTCCTAGAACAGTTTGAGTTGAATCCTTTAAAGGTCAACTGGTTCGATTCCCCTGCAATGAACAGGGAAACCTACAGCTCCATGAGGTGCTCAGAGCCCCATCCATCATTACCTTGAGTGTCTCCAGGGCAACCGCTTCTCTGGGCAACCTGTGCCAGTACTTCACCACCCTTAGCATAAAAAACTTCTTCCATGTATCTAGTCTAAATTTCCTCTCTTTTAGTTTGAAACAATTTCCCTTTGTCCTATCACAACAGACCCTGCAAAAGAGTCTGTCCCCTTCTATCTTTTTCCCTTCCTTTAGGGAAGGCCCCTGCCCAGCCACGGGCGTACCATTTGTCTTGCTAAGAACCAAGGGGATGCCCCTTGTTTTGTCTGTTCACTGGGGAATTATTCAAGAGCTGTGCTATTGATGTGGCCTTGGGAGTGGTGGGAAGGGATTGCATGTGATAACCAGAATGAAGTGAAAAGCGTTAATTAGTGTAATTATTTGGTGGAGCAGAACTCTTTTGTCAGAACAAGCTGAGTTCATTGGGAAGATAACTCTGTTTGCATTGTTTTGCTTTTATTTATAGGATCAGAGACAGGCACTGGGCACTGGGAACATCCCTGGTGCTGTGAGGCCAACTTCCCCACTGTGATGTCAATGGGGAAATAAGAGAAAACAGGCATTGGCGTTGCCATAGTGACTCTGAGGTTGGACTTCTGGAAAAGGAAAAGGTTACAGGAATCTGGGTGCATCCAAAGTGTTAATTTTTAAGAAAACACTTCAATTGGTACTTTTTTTTTTTTTCAGACTTCTTCACTTGTGCAGAGAGGCATGGATGACCTCACATGTGCTGTGTGGGGCATTTGGAGACCACTTCTGTGCTGAATTGTAGGACACAGGACCCACAAAGGTGCACTGCCCTTGCACATGGGCCTCATGATGTAAAAGAAGGAGTAGGTCAAAAACTTGACGTATTTCTCGTCCCCTTTGCCTTTTGCCACTACTTTCCTAACCAAACTTGTGCTTTCCACTCGTGTCCTCCCATCTTCTGCCTCTTCTTCCTTCCTCAGATCACTGAGCTTCTTCATGAGCAAGCAAACAAAACCAGTCCCTGCCCTGGCCCATGGCTGAACCCAAATACATTCACATTTCCCCACAAAACCCCCTGTGATCTCAACCGGGCTATCTGACACTGGGTCCCCAGCATCACAGACTGCACAGTGCCCTCAGGAATGCCCACCTCATATCTCCTCTGCTTTCTCTCTTCCTCCTGCTCTTACCAATAATTATGACTGAGGATGTGACAAAGCCATCATTGCCCAGCCCTCCAAGGACAACACGAGGGAAATGCTGTACAAACTCACCGGAGGTAACCAGTCTGAACAGGTACTTATTTCTGCAGTTTAGCAGCAACAGCCAGTTTTACACAGCTAAAAAATGGCTGGGATTCTTAGGAAAGTGGTTTCTTTAAAACCTGGGAGGGGAATAAGATTTGACTTTAGCATTTAAGAACATGCCTAGGGTGAAATCAAACAGTGGTGTCTCCCTGAGTTATAGACAGGCAGTGTCCTACGGATGCCCCATCCCTGAAGGTGCTCAAGGCAGGTTGGATGGGCCTTGGGCAGCCTGGTATGGTGGGAGCACCCAGCCCATGGCAGGGGTTGGGGCTGGGTGGGCTGTGAGGTCCTTCCAACCCAAACCATTCTGTGATTCTATTGAGTGGGAAGTACTGCAGCTCCTTGGCTCACTGAAACAGTCTTTGAATTGCAGCATCTCACCCGGCAACAAGAAGCTGTACAGTAACTGGTACCATAGCTTTTGTAAGGCTTTAACAGTCAAATTGCTATGGGTTGGTAACTGGTAGAACTCGAGCATTTATTAAACTGCTATAAGGTAACTGTTCTAGTATTTTACTGCCACTTAAAAAAAAAAAATAGCTCTTAAACTGATTTAATACATGCTTGAAGGATGATGCTTCAGCAAACCATTACAAATGCTGTCACAAGGCAGTGGGAATATATCTGTTTGCTACAGGAAAGCTGAGCCATCTTTACTCATGATAACAAAAGAAGCATAAGCTTTTAAAGCGCTGTCAATATTAGATAGCACTTCTTAAGTTGTTTTACAGAGATTTGATTTGTGCTTCATTTATTTTCCAACATAGTATTCCTCTGACTTCTTACATGATGCTACTGCTATGTTATGCAGGAGAGAACCATCGTTTAGTTCAGCTAAGGCAGCTTTTTGACAGACCAACCTGCTCTGTAGATAATGAACCTTTCCAGTCATCCATGATTTATTATGAAAACAAAATGCTGGATAACATACTGGAGAAAATCAGAAGGAAGACTTGCAGAGTGTTTGTATTTCCATGGTATACAAGGGAACCCGAGGCCAATGAGGTTAAATAAATGCTCAGAGTCAGTGGGGCACCGGGCAAAAGAGGAAACCCAGGGCCTGCACGCCCCTAGAGCAGTAGCAGCAAGTGCTGTCGGATGGATAACCTGGGTTAGACTGATTTCTAAAGGATCTTTTCAACAAAAATCTTCTGTCAGGAAGCAAATGTCAGGCAGCCCCCCCTGCTAGCTTCCTAAGCTTTCACACTGCTAGAGAGGAATTGCTCTCTTTGACAAAGCTTTCAAATCCATTCAGGCTGAGTCCGCTTTCCCTTCTGGATTTCAGTTATTAACCACTATTTTTTTAGCTCTGGTGCATCCAACCACCATATGTTCTTTAAATAAAGCCACTTTCCACTTCTTTCTTTCGTGCTTTGAGGTAAATAGAATTGCTGGAAATGTAGACACGCAGAAGGGTGCCCCTCCTTTGGGAAGTGCGGGATTTCTAGGTAAATCTTCAGCACAGAGTACCGCTCACGCAGTTCTGCTGAAGTGCATGATGTACTGTGGAGTGTCTTTATATACCATTTACTTGCAGGCGTGTAATGAAATATCTCTTCTTTGTCCCAGCCTGGTTCCAATTGTGTCACAAAGACATAAAAGAATTCTGATAATTCACACCCATCTCTTATCTGGCACAACAGCAAGGTCGTATTTTTAATTTTGAATGGGATGACTAAAGGTGCTTCATTAGCCAAAAGGCAGAGCTGTTATATGGCCTGGAGAAACTGAAATGGGATGGAACACTCCTACAGCATGAAATAAGCATTTATAAAGCTATCATAACCAAACACAGCTCCTGTCTGCTTCTTCCAGCTTCAGCTGGCAAGAACTGGCTGCCATAATGGGGGTGTTTTAAAAGTGAGAAGAAAAAAATCTCATTTTTCAGTTCCTCTTGGCTCAGGTACCAATGAGCCATCCCAGAATGGGCTGCTCAGAGAGGTCATGGAGTCTCCTTCTCTAGATATATTCAAAGCCCACCTGGATGCTTTTCTTTGTAACCTACAGTGGGTAACCTGCCTTGCACAGGGTTGCACTGCAGGATCTCCAGAGGTCCCTTCCAATTCCTGTCATTCTATGGGGAAAAATGAGCCTTGAAAACACAATTTCTGACTGCTTAATGCTGTGGCACTGTCTCAGTTCTGTTCCAAAGCCTTTGGTCACCATTCTGGAGAGAACTGGGACTACGTGAGAGGAAGACTGGCACAAAAGGCAGAAAGCTGCTGCTTTTGTGGCCTAGCTTTCCACTATTTACCAATCAAAAGGGCAGAAATCAATGGAGTGGTGCACCCGAGCACTTGACTGAGACTGCATTTATAGGGTCTCTCTGGGTGTTCTCAATAACATTGAGACCACTGAAACTCAGCAGCTGCAGCCCTGTGCTAACAGTCTGCACCCAGAAACAGTGCATGTTAAGAAGCCCAGCCCTGCTGAAGCTTTTGATACCGCTGTTGCACTTGACAACTCAGACACTGAAGTGGTGCAGGAAATGTCTCTGCCAGGCTCGCTAATGCACAAACTGCCTCCTTGCACTTAGAGAAATGCCTCTTGCAAGCACATACTGTGCAAACACGTCAGTGTTTATTAACTCAGGGCCTAAGATGTGCAGCAGCCTCAGCCTACTCCGACAGCAAGGAAGATGATGTTCCACCCCCTGCAGGGTCAGCTCTTAGCCTGTAAATCAAGCTATGTTCTCATTCCTCGTCAAGTAAATTTCCTTTCTCTGGCAATTGCATGCCCTTGGAGTGGTGCCAGCCTTATCTGAATGTGCCTCGTCCCCTGGGAAATTTCCTTGAGTATTTTCTCTCACGGGAATGGGAAAGCTTGGAATGATGACACACTGTATTCATACAAATACCATACAACAAACAGCAAACCATGCACCAATCCAGGGAAGAGCCCCACCATGCAGCAGGTGGGAAATGGTTGGAATAGCAGTAGCTCTGAGAGAGCCTACAGCCAGATGTTTCTGGTGCTCAGCATCTTCTTGTATAATATCAACTGGCACAGGTTGCCCTGAGAGGTGGTGGATGAGCCATCCCTGGAGACACCTAAGGTCAGGCTGGACAGGGCTCTGAGCACCTGGTGAAGCTGTAGTTGTCCTCGTTCACTGCAGGACTAGATGGCCTCTAAGAATCCCTTTCAACTCAAACGACTCTGTGATTGTATGATGCTATGATTGTATTAGTTGCTCAGTGTTCTGAAGATTAAAAGATACAGCTAGGAAGTTAGGAAGAAACATAGAAATAAGCCAACAATCCAGGGGCAAGCAAATTATCTCATCAAGCCACCAAAGTATTTCAGTTGAAGTACAGACACTCACTGCAGTAAGGATCTCAGTTTGGACTGGAATTTCACAGATGGTTTTTGTATCTTTGGTCTTGTACCACACATGAGCCCCAAATGATCCAGGCTTTGGGGAACCTCAGAGAAGATGTTCCGAATCTCAGCCCTCAGTGAAATATGCCACTGTATGAGCAGTGGAAGTTTCCCATGGGTTTGGATTCTGCATCTCCACATTCTGCTCCTAGCTCTCCCATTCCCTTCTGCCTGGCCAGGAGAGTGGCAGCATCTTCTGTGCTGTGTTGAAGTTACACCTGGGCTGGCTGGCCAGCAGTTCTTGCTGGCTGGCCAGCAGTTCTTGCTTCTTTTTACACATAAGAAACTGAAAGCCGTATTCCGCTTTGTGAGGCTGCCCTGGGAACATGGAAGATAATAGCTGCATATGTCTGTAGGATGATGTATCTGGGGGATATCTGTGTCTGTCAAGCAGAATTGAAAGCAATCATTGGGGTAAAATTATTCTTATCAGGTCACTGAGACAAGGTGACTGCAAAGGTGTTGGTTTTCCTGGAATGCTATGGTATTATAGAAATCAACTGGACCAGCTTACCCCCTTTTTAGTGCTTTAACAAGTATATTATGCATCCAAGACCTTCACTCTGGACACAGGATGTGACTACTGAATAGCATTGGTTGTTCACATTACCCTTCTGACAGAAGCAGAAGCAGCAAAACTTTGTTTGGAAGCTTTGCCCTATACTGTCACGTAGCCAAGCATCACGATTTGGTGCTAGATGATGTCTGCACACTGTCTGGGGTGTGAAGAAGACAGGCTCATGGGCTTTTGCTGGAGTTCTTTTCCATGGCTCCACTCAGACTGGGGATGGAAATAAGGACTGGCCCACTGTGGAAGAGCTGGGGAAGGGAGAGGCAGAAAACAAGAACCTGAAACAGCCCATGACCATTGACTTCTGCCAGTCTGAGGTTGGAACATATTCCAAGTGCATATAGGGTCATGGGTTTCCTGAAGGCAGCAGCAGGTATCGCTCCTGGCATGACTGTCCCTGCCTGCCTGGCCTCACACCATTGACAGTGCCATTCCCATCGGCCAGGCAATGCCATGTCCAGCAAAGTCCAAGCTGCAGGAGTTGCTGACACCTTAACAAGGAGGGTAATTTTCTTCCCAGTTAATCTTTTCCAAAGAATCATAGAATGGGTTGGGTTGGAAGGCACCCCAAGGGTCACCAAGTTCCAACCCCTTGCCATAGGCAGGGCCACCAACTTCCAGATCTTGTACTAGACCTGGCTGCCTGGGGCCCCATCCATGACAATATCTTCTCTGTTACCCACTATTTTTAAGGCTATCGAGAGAGCATTTGGAACTAATTTGGGGATATCTTGATAACAAATGAGATGTTAAGAAGACAGTCAGAAAAACTGGGCTTTCCTAGGAATAAATCCTATGACCATAGCATCCTAAGGCCTAAGTTCTCCACCTCCTTTTGTTCAACCAGGATGGAGAAAGATTATCTCTGAGACTGCTGCACATTCCCTGCTGTCATGCTGGGAGGACACAGTCCCATCCAGAGTTCCCTCTCTTCCATCATCAGAGAAAGGTGGGGAGAGCACAAGAAACCCCTCATTCACATACTCTGGGTCCAACTGCTCTATGAATGACAATTAAAATTCAGGAATTTAATTGCTCAGAGGCAGCAACAGTTCAGAGAAGACGCAAAGAGAGACAAGAAAATTCCATCTCTTTTCCCTGCTAGATTTCTCCAGCACAGAGTGGAAACCTGGATGATCCGTGCACTCTGTTGAGCATCCTCATATTATGAAGAGATCTACTATCACAACCACAACTCCACTGTATCACACTGCAGTGATAAGGAAAAGTAAATTCCTTGGGATATTTTGAGGTAACAGATGATAGAAGAGCGATGAGATATTGTTTTCTTCCCTATGGTGTTAGATTCAAAAGCCAAAGAAGCAGAAAGATAAGCTGTAAGAAAGGTTCACAAGCTGCACTGTTCATTCAGATAACGTTAAAAAGCTCTGGATCAATGAGTGCAAAAGCAGAATGTGCTTCTCTTGGCAAAACTTGCAATGAAATTAGATGTCTACTTTATGTGGTAATGGCTGCCAGGAAGCAGGCTCTGATCTTTCAGCTGTCATATTCTTGCTTGAAACTGATGGATGTATTCAACATCATCTAAAAGGCAAAAAGAAAAGACAAAAAGGAAGAGGAGCAGGCAACAGGTGAAACAGTGCTGAACAATTCTGACCCACCAGGGACCAGCACCCAAACCAACCCCAAAGGCTGACACTGCTCTTTGGCACTGGCTGCCAGTGCTTCATTTTAAGGATTATTGGCAATCTGCAAACAATGGAGGCAGAAGGCAGAGGAAGTGGGCAGCATCAAAGATCGTAGCTTTCAGAGGCACAGAGTGCCTGGACACAAGGCACAAAGCTGCCAGGACATGCAGGGCTGGAAACCACGAGAAAAACTGCTGCTTGTGTTTTTCCACTACATTAGGGCTCTGTGAATAAAAGAAATCACACACTGGAAATATTATTTTCACTCCATCAGCTCACCAGCAAAGCTCTGACTGCATAGCTTAACACCTGTGCTGAAAGGTGGAAATTGGATTTTCTTTCAAAACTTCAGCTGGGATAGTAAACTTCATCCCTCATACACATCATTATAAGTGATAAAGGGAAGGTCAGGGAAGGTGTGTTCCCTCTCTGGAAGGAAAATGGAGACGTGGTCATGAGAGATACAGAGAAAGCTGAGGTGTTCAATGATTGGAGCTGCAGGAGCGAGTCCAGAGGAGGGCCATAAAGATGAGCAGGGGGCTGGAGCACCTCCTCTACAAGGTCAGGCTGAGAGAGTTGGGCTCTTCAGCCTGGAGAAGCAAAGGGACATTATTGCAGCTTTTCAGTACCTGAAGAGTGCCTATGGGAAAGCTGGGGAGAGACTTTTTACAACAGCATGTAGTGACAGGACAAGGGGAAATGGCTTTAAACTGGAAGATGGCAGATTTAGACTAGATATTAGAAATTCTTTACTGTGAGGGTGGTGAGGCAATGGAACAGGAACAGAGAGGCTGTGGATGCCCTCTCCCTGGAGGCATTCAAGGCCAGGCTGGATGTGGCTGTGAGCAACCTGGTCTACAGGGAAGTGTCCCTGCTTATAGCAGGGGGATTGGAACTAGACGTACTTAAAGTCCCTTCCAACCCAAACCACTCTACGACTCTATGATTAAAGATTTAGAAGGTGGTTTGTCAAAATTGCTCCACTAAATCCTGAGCTGCTGTGGGTTCTGCTGGGGGGCTCTTTCCCAGCTGCATGCCAGCACTGTGCAGGAACATCTTTCCTGCATGCAGGTGTGTCCCATGCTCTTGTTAGGATAAACCAAATTGTAGAGTCTCATTCAGTTTACTTAGAGCCAGCGTGCAAAATGTTTCTTTGTAACTCTTCTAAGAGGCAACAATATTTTTCAGTGCAAAAATCTAATGCAGCTTTGCACAGTGCAGCATTACTTGATGTATTTCAACGGCCAGGTCAATGCCTCAAAAACGCAGATGTTTCAAAAAGCCACCCTTCAGAAGAGGCAGGAAGAGCTTATTCTGAGGAAGAAAAAAAGGGAATCAAAGGAGTACTGGGGGAGAGTTGCTGAATGCAATAGGCATACATGTTGTATTTGCCTGTGCAGCCTGCTACAGGGTGCTGCTTTGCAGGGGGGGTTGGACTACATGATCTCTAGAGGTCCATTCCTACTTCTACAATTCTGTGATTCCTGTGCTAAGAAACAGACTTTTGTTCATTTATTTACTGAAGTATTCTAGAGGAAAAGATAGTTTTCTTGATTTGTGTTACTATATTCGTTGTTGGTAAGCTCAGCATAGCACAGAAGTGTTCCAGCACTGGCACTGTTAACGAGCACCCAGAAATCACACATCTTCATGGCCACACTGGTTACAAAATCCAGGTTTCCCTGAGATATTGTTTTCCATGGCTGATCCTCTGAAATAAGTCCCTCTGCAAGACCTCCATGCTCACAGCTTTACCAAACACATTGTTTAAGGACTAGTGAAAACTGTGCAGATAAAAAAGCCAATAACCATAAAGCTGTAAAGGTTATAAAGCTAATGAAATAAAGTTTTATTATACAGCAGGTGAGACTGCTTTTATTCTGCTCTAACTTTCTCTGCTTTACATAAAGTTTATTTCAGCTGAAACATCTGGCTGTGAAACAAATTCCAGCAGAGGTGAAGTAATACTGAATGTGGTCATTTGAAGAACAGCCTGCAGTCCTTTGCTTTACAGATAGGCCTGCTAGCAGAATGCTCTGCTTGTGTCATCCCACCACGCAACCAAAAACTCAACAATCTTATCCCAAGAAGGCTTTGGAAAGGAAGCAGTGCCCAGGACCCCAGCCATCCAGGAATATGATTTCAATGTCCCCTGCATGCAGAAGGAGCTCAGATCTTACTGTGCATGAGAACATATGCTGATGAGAAGGCACTCAGTTTGCTATGGTACTGCATCAGTGCTGGCTTGCAATCATGGTGCTGTTGCTGTGAGACCACAGGCAGAGCTCTTCTAGGAGCCCCCAGTGGCTCCCAGATGCTTTTCTTAGACAGCACTGGGATGCAAGTTCAATGTGTTGATCATGAAGAGGGGCTCTCACCGTGATGAGGACCTTTGTGATCACACAGTGTCTGCATGCCGTATAATCCAGCTGTTCTTTACTTCTGTGTAAGTACACAGTTGCCTGTGCCCATACACGTGCATGTTCACTTTCTTGTAGAGAAGGCTTTTAAAGAATGAAATTGCTATTAAAATGACAGATTGTTGGACAGCAAAGACAAATTAGTGTTAGCTGCAGAATAATTATGTTGACAAATTCCTTGAGTTGTATAACGTTGATTTCAATGCAAAGCCAGAGGGCCTCTGTACAAATGTAACCATGTGGGGGAAACTGACAGAAAGCGAGGACCCAAAGGCAATTTTTGGAAATGTAAATAAAACAATCATTTGGTGAATTGGAGCAGTTAAAGAATAGTGGAGAGCAGAAGGATGGCTTTAACTCTTGTCAGGCCAGCCATGCAGCTGAGTTGCTTCTTGGACTTCAGTGTATTTCTAATGTCAATATTAAGTAGCATTCACAGAATTGGGAATGAAATGCATAATTAAGAACCTCTTGAAATCAAAGAAACCATGAATTGTAACCTCCCTGACACAGAGACTGCTTTTTCAAGAACAATAATAACTAACAGATTGCTTATTTTTTAATTGCAGTTACAACAACTGTTGAGTACTGCAGTAGTTTCAGCTGGGATGGAATTGTTTTCTTCTGTCCAGTATGATGCTCCGTTTTGGTTTTAGGAGAAAAACTATGGTGATAACACCACTGTTTATAGTTGCTGCTAAGCAGTATTGCACACAGCTAAGGCCATCCACAGCTAAAGGTCCAAGAAGCTGGGGGGGACAGAATTAGGACAGCTGACTTAAATTGGCAAAAGGGATATTCCATACCATATGGCATCATGTGGAAGGAGTGTTGAAGGGGGTGGGAGTTCATCTCACTCTCTTCCAATGTTTGGGGCCTAGCTGGGCGTTGGTCAGGAGTTGGAGAGCTTGTGCATCACTTGTTATAAACATTCATATATATATATATATATACACATATATATTTGTCATAATTATTATCATTTTCTCTATCTTAGTATATGATTTTATCTAAACCCATAATTCTACTATTTTTCCCCAGTTTTCTCCTTCTTCCCACTGCAAGTTGAGGAGTGAGCAAATGACTGCGTGCTGCTTAGCCACCTTCCAGGTTAAACTCCAACAAGTAATACAGATACCTTAGATCTTAGGTGTGTATGCAAGAGAAGACCAGCACAAATATTCCAGTAAAGGGTAAAACCATATTGAGTTTTCCCAGACATTGTGAAGGCAGAACTTAAAGGTAACTGTGGGCAGTAGGACTGACCTCACAGATTTTTGTTGACTTTATGCTTTGCAGATAAAACTGCAAAACTGCTGAAATACAGCTAGTTCAAAGGAAGTTGTGTGAGTGCACTGCAACACTCTGTACTGTTTATGTTGTGAATTTTCATAAATGTTGTTCCTGGAAAATCTGAAAAAATTTAGCAGTATAGATAATTTTTCTCCCAAAAGAACACTGAAGTGTGATGCCATGCTTTAAGTTAACAATGAGGTAAATTAATATTAGTTTGCTCAAAAGACTGGCTGTATTTTCTTAGGGATGAGGTTATTATTTAATTCAAGTAAAGGCAAGAAATTTGTTTATACGTCCTCACAGCAGTCAAATTAATTTCCTCTCTCTTTTGCTCCAGATCAAATAACCTTCAGACCCACCACCAAGCCAGCAAGTTCATTTCTAAAACAACCTACTTGCTCAGTCTAATTGCAAGTTAAAAATAAGGTGTGGTAGCTGAGTGCTGTTCAAAACCATAAAAGTACTTCATTTTC